GACTTTTGACCTGCAGAACTGTAAAATAATAAATCTGTGCTGTTTAAAGCCACAGGATTTGTGTGATCATTTGTTAAAGAAGCCATGGGAAACAAATACAACTCCTAAAGACATCTGGGAAACTGCAGCACTGTACTTGGGCCAGATAGCGCTCAGATGGAGCTGTGTCAGCTGCAGGGGCCGGGACTGACAAAGGAGTGCTGGGTTGGCAGCAGAGTGAGGGCCCATACAGTGGTGTATGGCCTTGCTGCATATTGTACTTCTCTAAGATGGACCAGTCCTCCTGGCCCAAATGAGCCTGGGTGATGTGTTATGTAATGCTGGGCCAGGAGGGGGCAGAGGAGCTTCTAGAAGGGCTGTTGCTTTCATGCACTGGGTGTTATCCACAACTGTGCACCCCTTGGCAGGAAGCTTGGACCTTCAACTGCCCTTAGAAATCTTGCTCGTTTCTCTGCTATGTGCCCCAACTATATTTTTCCCTTCTGTATCCTTTGGAGAAGTAAACCCTGAATGATTCACCCAAGCAGTGGCTATGTCTGGCATTTAATACACATATTTTTCAATACACTGGTAGTGCGGTGGGCAGATGGCTTAGTCTATTGGTTGGTAATTAGAGGTCTTAGACTTGTTTGCTGCAGCCTTAAGGAGGAGGGGCTTCAGGATGCAAATTTCACCCAGTTTAAGTGAAGACTTCTTTAATGGTCTGTCTATCCATTCTGCTACTCCCATGTAGTAAAACCCCTTTGTAGATGGACAACACAACAAATTAATGCATTCTAAATTTAAGCCAGCCACCGTGGTGTAAATATTCCCACCGTGGCCAATTTCAAGTTATCAGTGTGATGTTGATGAATGCAGAGTTGGGAAGAGATGTGTCCGGTCGGCTCTCACGTGCTGACACAAGCTGGTTGTAGCACACCACTGCTTGTCTCTATCTTTCACCTCTGCTTTCTAACTGGGAGAAGGGACACCCAGCAGACACATGGTTGGAATACTCTAAGTGGAATAATAGCTAACAGTCTCTAAGCACTTGTGCTGGGTCAGGCACTGTTCTAAGGGTTTTACGTTTCAGAAATTTAGTCCTCGCAGCAAACCTACGCAGTAGGCAGAAATGAGGAAAACTGAGGCATGGGTGAAATAACCAGTTCAAGATCACAAAGCTAATATTAGGAGAGCTGGGTTAAAGACATGCTTAAGTGGTTTTTCTCAGTGTCCATGATCTTAAAAACTACACTAAAGTATTTCTCTAAAATTGCACAATCTGATACAGTCACCACTAGCCAC